GTGTGCCCTGGTACTAGACTGTCAAGTGTGTGGTCTGAGGTCACTCCAGGAGCATGCAAACGACCGGTCCAGAGGCTCAAGAACAGCTGCCAATTCAACTCCTCCAATTTCCCCTCTTCCTCAAATCTAGACCAGTGGGAGACGCTGATCTTGACAAGTAAAACGTGGCATCTGAAGTGAAGCTGGAGACCCTGAGATGGGAACTAACAAAGCTAGGTCCAGCCTAGAACTTGAGATTCTAGACAACTTACGAAGACAGGGCTTCACCCAGGGGTGGCGCTGGCTCCCACAGCTGTCACAAACCAAGTCCCCGACTAGAAGACAGGAGAGGTAATTTCTATTGTAGCTTTGCATAAACCGTGGAGATTCTGCTGAGCATTAACTGTGACGTAGCGTGATCATATCACAGTGACGTGACACACTAACTGAGGGGTCTAGTGAGAGCCACATGAGCAGGCTCCATATGACCTCCGCCACTTTTCCAGTGAGAAGTCACTCCCTGGGAGGATGGCCATGCCGCCATCTCTTCTCCTCCCAGAATCCTGGGCATGCATGCACATGCGACCAGCGTGATTTTCAAGAACCACTGGGTCCAGGACTCAAACCGTGGTTGGCTGTGTGGGAGTCCATTGAAGTAACTGTTAGGCCATCTGCTGGCCCCTAAAACTATTTTTTAAACATTTGTTTTGCCAGATGGTATACATGCTCATGAGAGAGAGGGAGAGGGCGTACTCTCCAGTGGGGCATGGTGCAACCCTTGCTTCCCCCTCCCTCCATCCTGTCGTCATTTCCATAGGCATGTACACATGTCTGGCATGTTTTTCCTTTTTCTGTTTTTCTCTTTAATTTGCTGGAGGGTGTGTGCACTCATTGGAGAGAGAGAGAGAGAGAGAGAGAGAGAGGTGTGTGTGTGTGTGTGTGTGTGTGTGTGTGTGTATTTGTGTCCAAAATCCTGAGAGGAAAATAGAGGAAGGGACTGCATTGTGGCCATACCCCTGGGGGGCGTGATCTCTCACTTCCTCTCTCACCATCTCTCTCTATCACTGGTTTGTGAAAGTGCCCTATGGCAAAAACCTAAAAAAAACCAAAATAATAAAATAATTATAACTTAAAAACCCATAAATCCTATAAATAAGGTCAGAATCCACACACAATCTTATAACCTAATTATTTACTTTGTGATTCTTAATTAAGCAATTTTATAATAGGGTATTAAAAATTAGTTTCTACTTTGAACATCCCATCAATTCGGTAGCAGGGAAAATATTCCACTTTATAGGTAAGAAAGTAGCATCTCATGAAGTTTAGTGTGTAGAGTTTGTGGACTGCCTGTGTGCCCTGGTACTAGACTGTCAAGTGTGTGGTCTGAGGTCACTCCAGGAGCATGCAAACGACCGGTCCAGAGGCTCAAGAACAGCTGCCAATTCAACTCCTCCAATTTCCCCTCTTCCTCAAATCTAGACCAGTGGGAGACGCTGATCTTGACAAGTAAAACGTGGCATCTGAAGTGAAGCTGGAGACCCTGAGATGGGAACTAACAAAGCTAGGTCCAGCCTAGAACTTGAGATTCTAGACAACTTACGAAGACAGGGCTTCACCCAGGGGTGGCGCTGGCTCCCACAGCTGTCACAAACCAAGTCCCCGACTAGAAGACAGGAGAGGTAATTTCTATTGTAGCTTTGCATAAACCGTGGAGATTCTGCTGAGCATTAACTGTGACGTAGCGTGATCATATCACAGTGACGTGACACACTAACTGAGGGGTCTAGTGAGAGCCACATGAGCAGGCTCCATATGACCTCCGCCACTTTTCCAGTGAGAAGTCACTCCCTGGGAGGATGGCCATGCCGCCATCTCTTCTCCTCCCAGAATCCTGGGCATGCATGCACATGCGACCAGCGTGATTTTCAAGAACCACTGGGTCCAGGACTCAAACCGTGGTTGGCTGTGTGGGAGTCCATTGAAGTAACTGTTAGGCCATCTGCTGGCCCCTAAAACTATTTTTTAAACATTTGTTTTGCCAGATGGTATACATGCTCATGAGAGAGAGGGAGAGGGCGTACTCTCCAGTGGGGCATGGTGCAACCCTTGCTTCCCCCTCCCTCCATCCTGTCGTCATTTCCATAGGCATGTACACATGTCTGGCATGTTTTTCCTTTTTCTGTTTTTCTCTTTAATTTGCTGGAGGGTGTGTGCACTCATTGGAGAGAGAGAGAGAGAGAGAGAGAGAGAGAGAGAGAGAGAAAGAGAGTGAGAGAGCTTTTTTCCCCACACTGAGGAGGATAGTCTTGCCACAATCCCTTCTCCTGCACCTTTCCCCCTTTCAAGATCTGGGGCATGCATGCACGTACACCTGACCTAGTTTTCAAGCCCCCAGAGTTAGGATTTGAACCACCGTCAGCCGTATGGGACTAGCTGCTTTACTAAGGGACTAGCCCAAACCTAAAACTATGCTGAAGTGAAAACTTATTACTAAAAGTGTATAAGAGTTTAACAGACCGAAGGAAGAGAAATGGCACTCCAGGCCAAAGGAAGGGGATGCAAATGAATGGAAGGAACACAAAGCCCCTGGGAAAGGGCCGAGGTGTGGAGGGGGCCGTGAGGCTGAGAGGTGGGTGGTGCCTGGATTAGGAAGGCCTTTCTTTTAGACCAAGCTCAAGTGTGATGATTTTTTTGTGTAGGAAATTTCAGTTAACACTGTCTGAAGAACAAGCCTATTTATGGTAAGGCACAGACCGGCATGTTGGAGGATGGGCCAGGAGGGACACAGGCTGGGGCTGACCAGACTGACGAGGGGGCTGTTGCCGTGGCCCAGGGCAGAGGCCGTGCTGGCCTCAGCCAGGTTGTGGGCTTCAGGCCAGAGTGGTGTGCAGAGGCAGAGCCCTCCATGGGTGAAGGCCAAGCAGAGCTCCATTCTTGACCTTTGTCTGAGCAGGGCAGCAAAATGTCAAGGTGCCCGTTCACCACACCAGGGTGGTCTGGCAGCAGATCCAGGAGACCAGGCTCTGGTGCAGGACAGAGTAGCTAATCCCCAGAGGGGACATGCCATGGTTAGGACAGGACTGCCTCTTGATACTCGAGCCAACCAGGTGTTCAAAGAGCCTGCTGGTGGTGGGGGCAGTGGTGGTGGGTTCTTCAGTGTGTGGCCATGCTCTCGACCGACCCACTCTTCACTGCCGGACATCCTCTTATTTAGGATGGGCTGTGTCTTGTGGGTGTCACGTTAAAGCGACAACACGAGAGGCCTGGCTCTCGACCTCGCATCTCACCCTGATGGAGTGGCCTCTGGTCTCAGAGCTGGAGCACCTTCTCAGCGGAGTGGTCCCGCAGAGCGGGGACGGCGGGACCTGGTGCGCAGACCTGGCTGCAGGTCAGCACGATGGGAAACGCTCAGGGGCAGAGCGTCCTCAGTGGAGCTAGTGGTGGCCCAGCCCCTTCAGGCCCTAGTGGCACTCGTGAGGGGTGCTTCACCTGCCGGGTTAGCTAGGGGTCATGTGGTTCCCCGCAGAGGGTGGCAGTCTTTCCTTCCACCTCCTTCCTCAGTGCTGGTCTGTGGGTCGTCCTGGCAGCACCTGGGAGCCTCCTGGACAGGAGTCGTCTCAGGCCCCAGAGTATGAAGGAGCTACGGGACCTCTGGGGCGACTGGTGCGAGTCAGGAGACTGAGAATTACACTTCAGTGTGCAGCGGCACCTCTACTCCTGGTGCGTTGGGATCAGCTGGGGAGTAAACATTCCTCCCTGGCCTTCCACAGACCAATGAGCCGGAATCTCTGGAGGTGGGGCCCAGCCCTTGGTGTATTTGAAAAGTCCTCTTAAGAGATGTTGATAATCGGGACCAGCACATGGCATGGTGGTTACGTTACTGGACTCCCATGTAGTCTACCAGGGCTCGAGTCCTGGACCTGGTGGCTTAGAAAACTCACACTGGGCATGTGTGTATGCCTGTCCACAGCCCCAGGAGGAGAATGGGGAAAAGGGGACTGTGGTGTGGCCCTCTGCCTGGGGCATGGTTTCTCACTTCCTCTGTCTCTCCCTCTCCAATGAGCGCATGCACACTACAGCAGAAATCTCTTTAAAAAGAAAAAATGCCAATATTCAGTCAGTCCGGGGCTCAGTGACCTGGAGGAGCAGCCCCGCCAGCTCAGCCACATGTCAGGGTCTTGGGACTGTCGACACTGCATACCCGGTCATGAGGTTGATTTAGGTGGCTTGACACGGGGCTGGGTATTTGCATTGTTTTGTTTTCTTACATCTTTTCAGTTAATAGTTGAGAATTACTGAGCAGAGAAGTTGGGTCACTGCTGCCCAGGCTCTCTCTAGGGAGGGGGTGCCACCTGCCATCCAGGAAGCACTGTGTCTCCTCTGGGCAGGGTCTCCTTGGTCACTATAGGGTACTGGTCACAGCTGCTCAGGACCACGGGTACCCTGAGGGCTCAGGAGACACGGCAGAGCCCACAGCACGTTCTTTTGCCATTAGTGGCTCCCTGTGTGTCAGGAAATGGCGGTGTTCGCTCTACGGGCAGCACAGATGGCACTCTTGTCCAGCTTGCAGGAGGCACCACGTGCAGGGTGAGCCAGACCCTGGGTCTCTGTTCCCTGCTTCGCTGCCGGGCCTCATTCTGCCTCAGTGGTGGCAATGGCTGGATTTCTGGGTCTTGTGGCCTGGGAAAGTCAAAGAAACAGAGTCAGAGGGTCATTGGTGGGCGACATGGTGACGTGGTCTCAGTGGGTGGGCAGAATAAAACTGGACGAACACATTCGTTTTAGACACATGCTCCTGCCCCTTGGTTTCGTTTCAGGGATGTGTAGTCCTGGGTCGTAAGCTGAGGGAGTGCAAGCCCATCACAGGCTGTCACAAGCAGGTTCATGTCAGGGTTTTCAGACCCTGGTCTCCTGGGAAGCCCAGAGGGCTGCCGTCTGCACCTTCCTGATTCAGGGTCCCCGTCTGAGAGATGCCCGAGTGCCTATCCCATCCCTCACACTCTCTCTTTCCTTTACAGCTGGCAACCTGGGACTCGGAGAAGGGCCTGAATGGCAGCTTGCAGGAGAGGCCCATGGGCAGCCGTCTGCAGGGACTGACCCTCAAAGTGGTGACTGTCTTGGTAGGATCATGGGGCTATTCTGGGAGGTTCGCCGTCCAGGCCACTCTGTGTGATGCTGGGTTTGGAGAGCAGCAGAGGCGTGCTTTCAGCTTTCCTAAGGCCTTTCACTCCAGTAGCTGTGAATAATGAAGGGTAAGGTTGCAGATTCTGCCCCGGGGCCTCTGAGACGTCAGTAGAAGTCCCCGAGTTGATCTAAAGTGAAACTGCCGCACAGATCTGCTGCTGCATGCCAGAGGGTGGCAGCTGCTCACTTGTCGCTGGATGTAAACTGGGTCTGGGCCTGCTTCTGCTCCTTAGGAGACTCGGGACTCAGGAACTGGGTGTTTGAATCCTGTTTCACCCTTTGTCTATGGTCTGATCTTGACCCATTAACCAGGCTCCGTTTTCTAGGCAACCCGACAGACAGTACTGCTTTCAATCTAGGGTCACAGAACTTTCTTGCAATTTGTTATTCTAGATGAGAAGTGTCGCACTTCTTACCTGGGTCCTTAGAATTATGGTTATTTCTTAAGACAAGAGTCTTGATTTAGCATGAATGTTACATGCAAAGGGATGAAAACGGACCTTGTTGTTCTGGAAGCTGGGGCCTAGGGGAGCGCCTGAGATAACGGGATGCAGGACAGTAAGTCCCTGTCACCCATCACTCATACTGACCTGTGGTAGATTTCCTGGGCACTGGACCCGAGTGTCCACAGACCGCTTTCAGAAAGGGTAGACAGGTTCAGCTTCCACTTCTAAATTGGGTCAGCACAAAATAGCTGAAGTTATGATTCATCAGACTGGTCTCATGAACATACCCGGAAGTGAAGCCCTTACCTCGTTGGAGAACATCGCTCTGTTGTCCTCAGGAGGAGCCTTTTGTGATGGTGGCTGAGAACATCCTTGGACAGCCCAAGCGCTACAAAGGGTTTTCCATAGATGTCTTGGATGCACTGGCCAAGTCTCTGGGCTTCAAATACGAGATCTATCAGGCTCCCGACGGCAGGTACGGCCACCAGCTCCACAACACCTCCTGGAACGGGATGATCGGGGAGCTCATCAGCAAGGTAGGTCCAAAGGCAGAATGCAGGGAGGGTGCTCTCCCTGCTCTTGAGCAAAAGCTACACTTGGTCCGTGACATGGCTGGAACCTTGGGACCAACAAACGGGACCCCTGTTGTCACTGTGCATGGACTGAGGCCCTCTTGTCCTCAAATCCTCAAATCCTCCTGCTTCACTCATTGCAGCTTTCATTGTTTTTTTGCCATCTCACCTAGGAGAGAGATAAAGATAAAGAGAGAGAGCTCACCACCCAGGTGGCATGGCCACAGTACAGTCCCTTCTATTCCATTCTCCTCTCAGGACTTTGGGCATGCATACATATGCACCTGGTGTGTTTTTCAAGCCGCAGGGTCTGGAACTCGAACCGGGCAGTTGGCCATGTGGGATCCAGCTGCCTTACCCACCATGCCACCTGCTGGCTCCCTGGCTTTCAACCTTATTCCTGGGACTCTGCGCTTTCCCTTTTGCCCACTGCTCTCATTCGTTTGGGGCAGTTCCACTGTGCCTGCTCTGGAAAAGCCCTTCAGGAGGCCCACCCTCTCCTTAGGCTGACACGGAACACTTGTGGGGTGCACACACATAGGCGAGTGTGTAAGTGTGCACCTGCGGTTGTCTACCTGGATCGGCACCCCCACCTTCCCTGGGGTGGCATCGCTCAGCTCCCTGTACTTGCTTCAAGTCACTACTCTTCCTCCTTCCTGAGAGTCTGCCTCCTCATTGACACTCCCGGCATGAGGCCAACTCCCCACGTTCCCAGCCTCGCCTCGGCATCTCATGACCATTGGCTCACTTCCCATAAGCATGTATGATGGTCACATCTGACCCAGGCCCTCTCTCTCAGGCATTATTGCTGCTACACACCTCAACAATTTTTTAAAAATAGAAAATATATAAACACATACATATATGTATGTATTTAGAGGGGGGAAAAACACTCCCCTGCCAGTGTCTCCTCATGCTATGAGTTCTCCTCCCCCGGTGTCCCAGCCAGCCAGGATCATGGGGTCGAGCTGGGATCCGAACCCGTCTTCCATGTGCTCCAGAACTGCAGAGCAGCACACCGTGGCCTGCACCACCAAGTCTGGGCCAAATTCGACCATGGGATCTGGCATCCCCATGGGCATCCTGGACGCCCGTGTTTTGACCTCGTCTCCAGTGACCTTGGCCATGAGCCACCCCAGTGCCCACTCCTGTGCTTCTTGTTAGTGTCTGGCATGTCACTGTCACGAGCCCAGTCTATGACCACAACGTGCCCTTCTCATTCTTTCAGGCATTTAGTTCTAAAACACAAGCCGAACTTTACTATTTAAACCTACAAAGCAACCACTATGCCTGGACTCCTTCCAACTTCTCTAAATCTTTTTAAAGCTAATGTCGCAATGATACATTTATGTGCTCTGAAATGCACCCATTTCAGATATGTGATTCACTGATTGTTAGTAAGCGTGCGGAGCTGTGCAGCTGGCACCATCATCTGTTTTGAACACTCCCATCACCGCACTGAGGCCTCGCCTACCCATTTACAGTTAGTGTCATTCCTCACCGCCACCTCAGGAGCCACTGCTCTACGGTCTACCCAGTGGGGCTGCCCTGTGATCACTCCACCTAAGTGGGGTCAGAGAGCAGGTGGTCATTCCTGGCCCCTTGCCCTCGGCATATTGCACCTGAGAGTCACCCTTCTCTTACATTTCCGGGCCCTCCGACACTACGTTCTTCCTGCCTGGTGTGTTCTCTGGTGGGCCACTCAGACTCCTAGTCACCTCATTCTTGATTTCTTATTTCACCAAAACCCTGAACTGACTCTGTTAACTACCGTCTTGACTCTGGAATTGCGGCTGCTGCATGCAATTAGAGTAGAAAATCACGATTCGTTCAGCGTAATGTCGAGCGATGTGCAGGCCTCAGCTGGGCCTTTCAGTGTAGCGCAAGCCCTTTAATTTGCTCACTGTTGGGCTCCTGTTTACGTCATTCAGAGACAGGTGCAAAAATTTACCTGAGCTGGTCTCACAGCCTAGCCTGATGGTTAAAGGGAGCCGAATCCCATAGGGCTGACCACAGTTCAAATCCCAGTCCCAGTGGCTTGAAAAACACACTGGGTGTGTATGCATGCCCGCCTGCCCAGAATCCAGACAGGATGGAGAAATGGAGGAGAAGGGATTGTGGCGTGACTGCCCCATGGGGGAGGAGGTATGTGCTTTCTCCAGCTCTGTTTCTCTGTGTCTCTCTGGTGAGTGCTCATGCCTTCTGGAAATTAAAAAAAAAAAAAAGAAAGAAAGAAAGAAAAGTAAAAAGGTTTACCCTTATCCTCAAACTACTTAATAATCTATTCTCAATTTAAAAAATATTGCACTTCTGTATTGGGGTAATACGTCTCAACTTCCGGGCATGGAATTTTGTTTCTACTCCCCATGACATTTACACCTGCAGGCACCTGGCCTCTCCTGCAGAGGGGAGTGTCACCCGCCCTGGCAGGGAGTGGTCTCTCCCTATCACGGACCCTTCCTCCTGTGCGGAGCTGATTCTTTATGTCTTTGCTGGGCACCGCTTCATGACTTGTTTCTCCTCCATCCTCCACTGTGAGCCTACCCTGCCCCACTGCATCTCCTTCTCATCCCTGGAATGTGTTCCAAACCCTTTTAATCCCAGAAACAACCCCTCGGTGTTGGCTTCCTAGGAGGAGAAGCAAGATGCAGAGTTGCGAATGTGATACTGTGTTTTCTCTTTTGATGGTGACTGATTTCAGTGTGGGACGTGGGATCTTTTCCCCTCCAGTTCATGTTAGCCCGTACAAAGCCCTGTGTGTGCTTCCCCAGTCTGAGTACCCAGGTTGGATCAGTGGTCACAATGGGTCACTCTAAAACAAAGCTGGTTCTTTGATGCCTCCTCCTTAAAGACCCAAGAGCCAATGTCAAGAGATGACTCTGCCTGTCAGCATTCTTGTGGTTCAAGAGGGACTCTGGCCCCATTTCTACCTGCTATACTATGTAGGTGTGAGGGTCTTCACACCAACAAATTTGGCAGCTTCATCCCTATAGTCTTGTCCCATCTTGATCGTCTTTTTGTTTTGTTATAATAAAGCCTGTTTTGCGAAGCCAAAGTCTTGGGGAGTAGTATCAGGTCACAGTGTGTCAGACCCAGAGGTGCCCTTCACGCACAGCTGTACTACAGGGAGAACCAGCCCGTGTGTCCACAGGCCACGAGTTAAGGGCTGTGGAGGATTGAAAATAATAGATGAGTCCTTTGTTCTCAGGTTCTTTGACTCTCTGGCATAGAGTCTGCACAGAGAGCCACCGGGGTGAATGTGTTAATGAGATTCAGTATAGTTGTAGGGCTCACCATGCAACTTCTGATGTATTTTAGAAAACAGATATCGGTGAGCGAGAATGGAGTTTAGAGAGGGCTGATAGAGAAATGAAGTGTGTCTGCCCTTGATGTGTGAAGAGGATGTAGCTAAGCCCGGGAGAAGATAGAACATTCTTGGCGGGGCTAGAGGGAAACACAGGCAGAAGAAAGTTAAGGTTTTCCAGGGGAGGATAAACAAGTGAAGCAGAGCTGTAACTTATACAGGAATGAAGACGCTACCAAGATTCTTCCCTGCAGACTTGGAGCTTTGGGTTTGGGGGATGAATTTATAAGCCAAGGGAAGGTAATAACAGAAAACTTACTGTTGGCTTTTCCTCACAATATTTCCAGTCTCAGGTGTCAACTCTCAGATCCCTTTCTTTTGAACAGAACAGCTTCCAGGCAGGGAGTGGGCCTTGAGCCAGGGCGGGGCCCACGCAGCTCAGGACAGCCCTGATGAGCCGGCTTTGCCTTTCAGAGAGCGGACCTGGCCATCTCGGCCATCACCATCACTCCGGAGCGGGAGAG